CACACGTCACACAACACAAACACTAAAACACCACTTCTAACACACGTCACACAAACACTAAACACCACTTCTAACACACGTCACACAACACAAAAGCTAGACACCACTTCTAACACAAGTCACACAACACAAACGCTAAACACCACTTCTAACACACGTCACACGACACAAACGCTAGACACAACTTCTAACACACGTCACACAACACAAACACTAAAACACACTAACACACGTCACACAAACACTAAACACCACTTCTAACACACGTCACACAACACAAAAGCTAGACACCACTTCTAACACAAGTCACACAACACAAACGCTAAACACCACTTCTAACACACGTCACACGACACAAACACTAGACACAACTTCTAACATACGTCACACAACACAAACGCTAGACACCACTTCTAACACACGTCACACAACACAAACACTAAACACAACTTTAAGCACACAAGTAATACTATACCACGTTGTAGTTATTCTCATTACCAGAAGTCTACTTACCTTCTCGTGAAGAATATGTGAATCATGCCAATGAGATCATTTGAATACGACATGTACATGAAAGCATGCCGATGGAAGCCTATTTACACGAAATCCATCATTTTTTTCAATAACGGAATTGATCACATGACCTTCCTTCCTTCATGAAATTTAACAATAAGTCATTCTGTCTACTAGATATATACCAAATCACGTGTTCACATGAATAAAAATACTGAGTGATATAGACATGCTCGCATGACGTTCTTAATAAGAAAGGAATGAAAATGATAAAAATTGTCCCCAATAGCCTTAATTTCAAAAGAATGTGGCAGTATAGTTTCTAAATTAAGTATGTTATCAAAACATCTTAACATCAGTGGAACCGAAAACTAGAAACTGCATTAAATTGGCAAAGTTATGTTTAACATGACCAATCGTGTAAAAGTGTAATAAATTACATGACCTGCTTTCCATGTATCGCCAAAAGTACAAGCAGGGCACACGACACGGCTGACATCCCATGTAGACTCAGAATCTCCTAGTCAAACGTAGATCTGATAATGGCGTCCCGATTGATCTCATTGATGAGACGCCATGTGTTCAGGAATGTTCGATCATTTCTATGTACCTGTTTTGTAAATGTACATCGCTTGATGTATAATGTATACGCCAAGTTTTGAAATACGGAAATACGGGAGAACCAAACGAGGCCTCTTTTCAGCATTACTACATATGTGACAATTATTTAATCCAAAGGAATTAGAGGAGATTTACACAGCGGATGTTCGTTGCGTGCATGTTTGAAAACCCCCGTCAACAAACGAATTTGTATCCTTACGTGGTACACTTGTTATTCTAGCACGCTATTGACGTCTACAACGGGCGACTTCTGCAAAGAGTTTACGACGTTTTTCGAACGTTTTTTAGAAGTTCGAAGAGCAATGGAGAGCAATACTGATTACTATACCGGTTGAACCGAGACTTGACTCACATTTTGAAAAGAAAACGCGAAAGAAAAGTTGGTCAGAATACGGCGTGAAATATTTTATAATGAATCATATAGTAAGTGAAAACCACAACAAAAACCTTCTCTCATTCTTTTTTACCAGTAACTGTTAAGAGAATTAGAATTCTTACTGAAACGAGAGTTAAACGAGAACTCAATGCTTAAGTTATCATATATTAGAAAACAAGACTCTATAGTTGAGATGCTCGATATTCTGGACACGTAGCTGTTGACTAGGGCAAGAATCCGTTTGCTCTGATGACAGTTTTCACTGAAACTTCACTGAATTTCGTCCTGTTGGGAGAGCCTAGTCCACGATTTTAAATAGAATAGCTTATGTTGGATCACTCGGCCCCACTCAGAGGATGTTTGACTGAAGAGGGAGAAGTGATATGTTACACAACGTCGTGTCTGTTTATACAGCACTTAAATAAATAAGCATTCTATATTTTTTTCGCATTTAATTTACATCTGCATTCTTTTGTCACGTGAGCAGCTTTTGTAACAAAGATTATTTCTTACTTTTATCGGTGGCGTGCATTTTTCTAATTACAAAATTATACAATCAGCCCACTGCATTTGGTATTCTTAGCAATGAAAATATGTAGTGGTACGTGCGCACGTGCTTTGCAAAACGAAGCGTTTCGTTTGCAGCAAAACGATAACTGCAAAAGCGAAGTACAAAATAAGGAATAAATGCGAACCACACACAGTAAGATGTTTCATGTATCTCCCCTTTGTTTCCGGTTGTTACATACAAAGTCTATCTATCGTTCAAATTATTTTAGCTTGATCTCTGCAAATGAAAACTTACTGTTCATTTCAACAATTTTTATTGATCAATTGACTGGACCACAGACTGAAAAGCTATATTGATAAATGTATCAATTGATTGGACCACAGACTAAAAAGCCTATATTGATAAATATATCAATTGATTGGACCACAGGTTGGAAACCTGTATTGATTGGACCACAGGTTGGAAACCTGTATTGATTGGACCACAGGTTGGAAACCTGTATTGATTGGACCACAGGTTGGAAACCTGTATTGATTGGACCACAGGTTGGAAACCTATATTGATTGGACCACAGGTTGGAAACCTATATTGATTGGACCACAGGTTGGAAACCTATATTGATTGGACCACAGGTTGGAAACCTATATAAGTCTCCTTTAAAAAAAGTTACCGTTCTATTTATTCCTACACTTTACAATGGCTTCAGTGGGATTATGTTGATTATGTGTGAGTGAGAGTATTTCACTAACGAGGGGGTATCTGAGGGGAATATGCATTGTGATGATGAGGGGGTATCTGTGGGAACAGTCATTGTGATAATGAGGGGTTATCTGTGGGAACAGCCATTGTGATAATGAGGGGGTATCTGTGGGAACAGCCATTGTGATAATGAGGGGGTATCTGTGGGAACAGCCATTGTGATAATGAGGGGGTATCTGTGGGAACAGCCATTGTGATAATGAGGGGGTATCTGTGGGAACAGCCATTGTGATAATGAGGGGGTATCTGTGGGAACAGGCATTGTGATAATGAGGGGGTATCTGTGGGAACAGGCATTGTGATAATGAGGGGGTATCTGTGGGAACAGTCATTGTGATAATGAGGGGTTATCTGTGGGACCGTGGGAACAGGCATTGTGATAATGAGGGGTTATCTGCGGGACTGTGGGAACAGTCATTGTGATAATGAGGGGTTATCTGTGGGACTGTGGGAACAGGCATTGTGATAATGAGGGGTTATCTGTGGGACTGTGGGAACAGGCATTGTGATAATGAAGGATTATCTGTGGGACTGTTGGAACAGTCATTGTGATAATGAGGGGTTATCTGTAGGAACAGGCATTGTGATAATGAGGGGTTATCTGCGGGACTGTGGGAACAGTCATTGTGATAATGAGGGGTTATCTGTGGGACTGTGTGAACAGGCATTGTGATAATGAGGGGTTATCTGTGGGAACAGGCATTGTGATAATGAAGGATTATCTGTGGGACTGTTGGAACAGTCATTGTGATAATGAGGGGTTATCTGTGGGAACAGTCATTGTGATAATGAGGGGTTATCTGCGGGACTGTGGGAACAGTCATTGTGATAATGAGGGGTTATCTATGGGAACAGGCATTGTGATAATGAGGGGTTATCTGTTGGAACAGGCATTGTGATAATGAGGGGTTATCTGTGGGAACAGCCATTGTGATAATGAGGGGGTATCTGTGGGAACAGGCATTGTGATAATGAGGGGTTAACTGTGGGAACAGGCATTGTGATAATGAGGGGTTATCTGTGGGAACAGGCAGGCATTGTGATAATGAGGGGTTATCTGTTGGAACAGGCATTGTGATAATGAGGGGTTATCTGTGGGAACAGCCATTGTGATAATGAGGGGGTATCTGTGGGAACAGGCATTGTGATAATGAGGGGTTAACTGTGGGAACAGGCATTGTGATAATGAGGGGTTATCTATGGGAACAGGCATTGTGATAATGAGGGGTTATCTGTTGGAACAGGCATTGTGATAATGAGGGGTTATCTGTGGGAACAGGCATTGTGATAATGAGGGGTTAACTGTGGGAACAGGCATTGTGATAATGAGGGGTTAACTGTGGGAACAGGCATTGTGATAATGATGGGTTAACTGTGGGAACAGGCGTTGTGATAATGATGGGTGAACTGTGGGAACAGGCATTGTGATAATGAGGGGTTAACTGTGGGAACAGGCATTGTGATAATGATGGGACATTTTGACAACAAAGGTTGATCTATTTGTGATAATGATGGAGCCTTTTTGAACTGTGGGAACAGGCATTGTGATAATGAGGGGTTAACTGTGGGAACAGGCATTGTGATAATGATGGGTTAACTGTGGGAACAGGCGTTGTGATAATGAGCGGTTATCTGTGGGAACAGCCATTGTAATAATGGAGGGTTATCTATAGCTGCAGCCATTTTGATTGTTGGAGGACATTTTGACAACAAAGGTTGATCTATTTGTTTTCGATTCCGGAGCCTTTTTGTTTGGTAGGAAATAATAAAGTATATGATATATATGTCTGTAGTTAACGCTTATAACGGTGTATGAACTACTGTACAGATAATATATATATACAGAAGGGTAGGAATGAGGGCAACACTGAATGACGGCAACACTGTACAGAAGAAGGGTAGGAATGACGGCAACACTGTACAGAATAAGGGTGGGAATGACGGCAACACTGTACAGAAGAAGGGTAGGAATAACGCAACAGTGTACAGAAGAAGGGTAGGAATGACGGCAACACTGTACAGAAGAAGGGTAGGAATGACGGCAACACTGTACAGAATAAGGGTAGGAATGACGGCAACACTGTACAGAAGAAGGGTAGGAATGACGGCAACACTGTACAGAAGAAGGGTAGGAATGACGGCAACACTGTACAAAAGAGTAGGAATGACGGCAACACTGTACAGAAGAAGGGTAGGAATGACGGCAACACTGTACAGTAGATGGGTAGGAATGACGGCAACACTGTACAGAAGAAGGGTAGTAGGAATGGCAGCAACACTGTACAGAAGAAGGGTAGGAATGACGGCAACACTGTACAGAAGAAGGGTAGGAATGACGGCAACACTGTACAGAATAAGGGTGGGAATGACGGCAACACTGTACAGAATAAGGGTGGGAATGACGGCAACACTGTACAGAAGAAGGGTAGGAATGACGGCAACACTGTACAGAAGAAGGGTAGGAATGACGGCAACACTGTACAGAAGAAGGGTAGGAATGACGGCAACACTGTACAGAAGAAGGGTAGGAATGACGGCAACACTGTACAGAAGAAGGGTAGGAATGACGGCAACACTGTACAGAAGAAGGGTAGGAATGACGGCAACACTGTACAGAAGATGGGTAGGAATGACGGCAACACTGTACAGAAGAAGGGTAGGAATGACGGCAACACTGTACAGAAGATGGGTAGGAATGACGGCAACAGCGCACAGAATAAGGATGGGAATGACGACAACACTGTACAGAAGGGTAGGAATAATGGCAACACTGTACAGAAGGGTAGGAATGACGGCAACACTGTACAGAAGAAGGGTAGGAATGACGGCAACACTGTACAGAAGAAGGGTAGGAATGACGGCAACACTGTACAGAAGAAGGGTAGGAATGACGGCAACAGTGTACAGAAGGGTAGGAATGACGGTAACACTGTACAGAAGGTAGGAATGACGGCAACACTGTACAGAAGAAGGGTAGGAATGACGGCAACACTGTACAGAAGAAGGGTAGGAATGACGGCAACACTGTACAGAAGGGTAGGAATGACGGCAACACTGTACAGAAGAAGGGTAGGAATGACGGCAACACTGTACAGAAGAAGGGTAGGAATGACGGCAACACTGTACAGAAGAAGGGTAGGAATGACGGATTAAGGGTAGGAATGACGGCAACAATGTACAGAATAAGCGTGGGAATGACGGCAACACTGTACAGAAGAAGGGTAGGAATGACGGCAACACTGTACAGAAGATGGGTAGGAATGACGGCAACACTGTACAGAAGATGGATAGGAATGACGGCAACACTGTACAGAAGAAGGGTAGGAATGACGGCAACACTGTACAGAATAAGGGTGGGAATGACGGCAACACTGTACAGAAGAAGGGTAGGAATGACGGCAACACTGTACAAAAGAAGGGTAGGAATGACGGCAACACTGTACAGAAGAAGGGTAGGAATGACGGCAACACTGTACAGAAGATAGGTAGGAATGACGGCAACACTGTACAGAAGAAGGGTAGGAATGACGGCAACACTGTACAGAAGAAGAGTAGGAATGACGGCAACAGTGTACAGAAGAAGGGTAGGAATGACGGCAACACTGTACAGAAGAAGGGTAGGAATGACGGCAACACTGTACAGAAGAAGGGTAGAAATGACGGCAACACTGTACAGAAGATGGGTAGGAATAACGGCAACACTGTACAGAAGAAGGGTAGTAGGAATGGCAGCAACACTGTACAGAAGAAGGGTAGGAATGACGGCAATACTGTACAGATTAAGGGTAGGAATGACGGCAACACTGTACAGAAGAAGGGTAGGAATGACGGCAACACTGTACAGAAGATGGGTAGGAATGACGGCAACACTGTACAGAAGATGGGTAGGAATGACGGCAACACTGTACAGAAGAAGGGTAGGAATGACGGCAACACTGTACAGAAGAAGGGTAGGAATGACGGCAACACTGTACAGAAGGGTAGGAATGACGGCAACACTGTACAGAAGAAGGGTAGGAATGACGGCAACTGTGTCACAGAAGATGGGTAGGAATGACGGCAACAGTGTACAGAAGATGGGTAGGAATGACGGCAACATTGTCCAGAGTTCTACCTGCAGGACTGAGGCCGTGTGGATGGGTAGAGGGAGGGTGTGGGATGAAAAATGGAGCAGAAATTATCCGCGAAACATAAAGCGAGTTCTATCTTTCGCTATAAAATGGAAGTAAGTAAATCGGCTAATTCTATAATTGGTTTGTGGGTAGATGTCTATCGTACGGTTTAGAGTCTCATCGTACATAACGATAAAACCAACAATTCTCAGAGACAGACGTCAGAATTGCTACAAATTCGTGATAGTTCAAGCATTACGCCAACCATTTACATTAATGACCACCAATTTTGTTATCACTTCCTGTTCTACCGGAAGTCAATTTTAGGTATGGCACAATCATATTAAGATACAAATAATGGATTTTTGAGTTAGTCGAAATTCATGTCAACTAAATGGATTTTGGAGCGTGATCATTGCGTATTTATCTGTTAGGAAGGCTTAAAAACATTCAGAATAGCTTTAAGGAATTTCCGAAAGATTTAGCCGAGAACTAATTGATAATGCAGTGGAATTGATTCTAATGCTGTTAAAACAATTTTAGTCGCTGTTTGAAAAATGGCGGAGGTTATTATCGGAGCGAGGGATTAAGTGGTCCACAATTGAAGTCGCCCCAGGTTAGGAGATAGTAGTTCGTCATTAACATGAAAGACCGACTTGATTCTAAAAACCTCGAGAGATTAAAGTGGTGGTGTTTTCATGTTCAAAGGAAAACAAATTTAAAAAAGGAAGATAATTCATGAATTTTGGATTTCTTTGAATAATCAAAAGCAACAGTAAGATTAATGTGATGTTTATTTATTATCATGTGGTGCTCATGGAATGGTTTCTACCGATTTTACTCTACCCTTTATTTAATAATTTCGGCTCCTTTTCTCTTTCGTTGAATTTCTTCGTGTTCAATAAATAATTACAATAACACGTGATGATCAATATAATGGTGAGTTTCGTTTCGTTTAAAATCGATCCTTAAAATATGTAAATTGTACATGAATGCACGTTCACGCGTTTACCTACCACAGAAAAATACAAATCTTAGCATGCATTGTCGATTTCTTGCTGATTTCTGTTAAAAGTTCTATTTCATTTCATGAAGGAAATATTTTATACATATCTATATATGCAGATAAAAATATCTCTTTTCGTTTAAACATGTGTTCAGATTTTCGTTGTGATTATTCAGGTAAAATTATTGTGCTATTAACAATAGCGATGAACACGAAAACGTCGACATAAACAAATGAGTCGAAGTCCCTTGAACTTCGAAACATCGAAGTTTGATTATATGAAATTTTCTTAGCTTGTCAAAATTGTTAAACGAATTTTAAATTTTCAAGTTTGAATTGAATTTTGCAGCCAAAGAACAACATAGTTAATACATTTAATTCACAATTTGAATTAACGTCACGAAAATAAAAACTGTAAAATATCTTGTATACATTTAACCATTGACGTCTGTCAGATTGCATTTATTGTCAATATGACCGTGCCGGCTCTTCATTCGGAAAAAAATGGCGGCGTCACGTCACTTCGAGTTAAAAGTGAACGAACAGCCTGAAAATGATGAGCCGGCGAAGAAGCTTGGTGTAGCCGTATTGGTTTGGACATTTACATTCATGTTTTGTCTGAGTGAGTTTAAAGGAAGAGGATTATCGCTTGCAGAAAGGGGCTCCGATGAAACACATGCTACGGTTTGTGAGGAAACTGCTTGTGGGGGATCTCGAAACTGTCGCTGCGTGATCGGTAACTGGAAAAAATATTAATGCGCACTCTCTGAACTGCATCTACAATACTGTGAATGCAGTCCAGATTAATATAGACATAATGGGTGACCACAGAGCAAAATGTAAATATATTGGTATACTCGCGTGTTTATATTGTGTATCTGTATATATTGTGTACCTGTATATACTGTGTATCTGTATATATTGTGTACCTATACATATTGTGTATCTGTATATATTGTGTATATGTATATATCGTGTACCTGTATATATTGTGTATCTGTATATATTGTGTACCTATATATAGTGTGTATCTGTATATATTGTGTACCTGTATATATTGTGTATCTGTATATATTGTGTACCTGTATATATTGTGTACCTGTTTCCCAGCTTGTATATATTGTGTACCTGTATATATTGTGTATCTGTATATATTGTGTACCTGTATATTGTGTACCTGTTTCCCAGCTTGTATATATTGTGTACCTGTATATATTGTGTACCTGTATATATTGTGTACCTGTATATAGTGTGTATCTGTATATATTGTGTATCTGTATATATGGTGTATCTGTATATATTGTGTACTTGTATATATTGTGTACCTGTATATAGTGTGTATCTGTATATATGGTGTATCTGTATATATTGTGTATCTGTATATATTGTGTACCTGTATATATTGTGTATCTGTATATATTGTGTACCTGTATATATTGTGTATCTGTATACAGGCTTGTATATATTGTGTATCTATATATTGTGTACCTGTATATATTGTGTACATGTTTCCCAGCTTGTATATATTGTGTACCTGTATATATTGTGTATCTGTATATATTGTGTACCTGTATATATTGTGTACCTGTTTCCCAGCTTGTATATATTGTGTACCTGTATATATTGTGTACCTGTATATATTGTGTATCTGTATATATTGTGTATCTGTATATATTGTGTACCTGTTTCCCAGCTTGTATATATTGTGTACCTGTATATATTGTGTACCTATATATAGTGTGTATCTGTATATATTGTGTATCTGTATATATTGTGTATCTGTATATATTGTGTACCTGTTTCCCAGCTTGTATATATTGTGTACCTGTATATATTGTGTACCTGTATATATTGTGTACCTGTATATATTGTGTATCTGTATATATTGTGTATATATTGTGTACCTGTATATATTGTGTATATATTGTGTACCTGTATATATTGTGTACCTGTATATATTGTGTATCTGTATATATTGTGTATCTGTATATATTGTGTACCTGTATATATTGTGTATCTGTATATATTGTGTACCTGTATATATTGTGTATCTGTATATATGTATATATTGTGTACCTGTATATATTGTGTACCTGTATATATTGTGTACCTGTATATATTATATCTGTATATATTGTGTATCTGTATATATTGTGTATCTGTATATATTGTGTATCTGTATATATTGTGTACCTGTATATATTGTGTATCTGTATATATTGTGTATCTGTATATATTGTGTACCTGTATATATTGTGTACCTGTTTCCCAGCTTGTATATATTGTGTACCTGTATATATTGTGTATCTGTATATATTGTGTACCTGTATATTGTGTACCTGTTTCCCAGCTTGTATATATTGTGTACCTGTATATATTTTGTACCTGTTTCCCAGCTTGTATATATTGTGCACCTGTATATATTGTGTATCTGTATATATTGTGTACCTGTATATATTGTGTACCTGTATATATTGTGTTCCTGTTTCCCAGCTTGTATATATTGTGTACCTGTATATATTGTGTACCTGTTTCCCAGCTTGTATATATTGTGTACCTGTATATATTGTGTACCTGTATATATTGTGTATCTGTATATATTGTGTACCTGTATATATTGTGTATCTGTATACAGGCTTGTATATATTGTGTATCTACATATTGTGTACCTGTATATATTGTGTATCTGTATATATTGTGTACCTGTTTCCCAGCTTGTATATATTGTGTACCTGTATATATTGTGTATCTGTATATATTGTGTACCTGTATATATTGTGTACCTGTATATATTGTGTACCTGTATATATTGTGTATCTGTATATATTGTGTACCTGTATATATTGTGTATCTGTATATATTGTGTATATATTGTGTACCTGTATATATTGTGTACCTGTATATATTGTGTATCTGTATATATTGTGTACCTGTATATATTGTGTATCTGTATATATGGTGTACCTGTATATATTGTGTACCTGTATATATTGTGTACCTGTATATATTGTGTATCTGTATATATTGTGTACCTGTATATATTGTATATGGTGTACTTGTATATATTGTGTACCTGTATATATTGTGTACCTGTATATATTGTGTACCTGTATATATTGTGTACCTGTATATATTGTGTATCTGTATATATTGTGTACCTGTATATATTGTGTATCTGTATATATTGTGTATCTGTATATATGTGTGTATATATTGTGTATCTGTATATATTGTGTACCTGTATATATTGTGTAACTGTATATATTGTGTAACTGTATATATTGTGTACCTGTATATATATTGTGTATATATCTGTATATATTGTGTACCTGTATATATTGTGTATCTGTATATATTGTGTACCTGTATATATTGTGTATCTGTATATATGGTGTACTTATATATATTGTGTACCTGTATATATTGTGTACCTGTATATATTGTGTATCTGTATATATTGTGTACCTGTATATATTGTGTATCTATATATATTGTGTACCTGTATATATTGTGTATCTGTATATATTGTGTATCTGTATATATTGTGTACCTGTATATATTGTGTATCTGTATATATTGTGTATATATTGTGTACCTGTATATCTTGTGTACCTGTATATATTGTGTATCTGTATATATTGTGTACCTGTATATATTGTGTATCTGTATATATGTATATATTGTGTACCTGTATATTGTGTACCTGTATATATTGTGTACCTGTATATATTGTGTATCTGTATATATTGTGTACCTGTATATATTGTGTATCTGTATATATTGTGTATCTGTATATATTGTGTACTTGTATATATTGTGTACCTGTATATATTGTGTATCTGTATATATTGTGTATCTGTATATATTGTGTACCTGTATATATTGTGTATCTGTATACAGGCTTGTATATATTGTGTATCTATATATTGTGTA